TTCCATCAACCCTTGTGACTGGGACTCCGGAGATAACACGACAAAATGTCAATACAATAAAAGAGTGAGACTGGGAAAGACTTTTGGTCATTTTTCCTTCCTTCTTTTCAGAGCTGAGCAAAGAAAAAATCTGATTGTTTCATAAATTCAGGCTCTTCATATTTCCATGGAGGCCAACAGGAGAAAAATATGTAGAAATTGTGGATTTACTCACAGAACAGTGAGGGTGATGTTGGAGCTCAGCAGAGAGCTCGGGCACAAAGCAGGTCTGGATTCTCTTAGGGTTTTGTCTAAATGCAGCTGGATAAATTCATTGATGATACAATGTCTGAACACTGTTTATAGTAGTGCTGGTGTAAGGTGTGGTAATTTGGCAAGCAGAGGTCTGGGTTGCTTGAGAAGGGAAGTTGGCACAATGCTGGTGCAGGAAGCATTGCAGGCGCTCAGGAAAGTGCAGAAAAAGGTTCTTGGTCCTCACAGGCACTGCTGGGATTCAAAGCAAAATAAGTCACCCTGGGCAAGGATCTAGAGCTGAGTTTGTCCTGACCTTTTGTTATGCTTAAAATGAGGGAATTGATCTGCCAACGTGTATTCTTTGTGATATCCAACAACTTCACATTTAAAAAGTATTTAAAGAGCAAAGGGCTTGAGCGGGGAAAGCTGACTTACTCTGCTGGCAGTACACTGATTTCCCTCAGAAAGCTCAAGCTCAGTGTGTTGGGTTTCTGTGGCTGGGTTTTGGTAGCTTGAGATTGCAAGGATGTTGGTCCAAACTGGAGACTTCCAGGTGATGTAGCTGTGCCAACCAAGCCCTGATACTACAGATGCAAGCAGGTTGAGAGGATGTTTATGTGTATATAGCTGCTCAATTTCCAGGGTTTGTTGGTGTTTTATTTTGGTTTGGGCTGGGGTTTTTTGTTTGTTTGTTTAATTGATTGGTTTTTACTTTGGGATTTTTGTTTGTTTGGGGTTTTTTTCCCTCCGAAATCAAACCTTTGATTTTCATTGTCCTAACTGGTTAACCTGAATTATGGGTTGTTAAAAATCCTGGTGCTATGTTGTTGCATCATGTAGATGTTCTTGCTAAATCCTGTGAGAAATGTCACCTCTGCTGTTTCCCACTAAGTCAGGGAGTGGTAGAGAGGAGGAGGGAGAGAAACTGAAAGTCCAGGTAGACCAAGCTGAGCACCAGAGGATTTTAGGAACGGGTGACGAGCTTTGAGACAGGAGCAATCCATTTCCCGCACGCATTTTTGGAAACTCAGCCTGGGTGAGACCTTCCTGCCTCCATAACCATCCCAGATAATGACACAATTCCTACCTTTGATCCTGCACACCAAATGGCCTCATTTTTGATGCACTCAGTGCATGAAGGGAGTGCTACATGAGCCAGATTTGTCTTGGCTGCAGCCAGCAGGATTTAAGAAGGTTCGGTGCTGTGAGAAGGAGATTCCTTTGTACCTCTGTCACCCCCTGGGAATTCTGGAGCCTTTCAAGGCTTTTTTTTAACTAGGGCTGCAAAAGTGTTCATTTTTGCAAGAGGATGACTGCTGAGATGTTAAAACTAGTCAGGAGATTAATCTAAATGCTGAGCAGCAGAGTAAAAAAGAATGGGTTTTATACAGCCCTAATAATTTGCTTTGAAAGGAGTATTCGGTCTACCAAAAATTCTTCAGAGCAATTCATCTAGAAAATAATGCTTTAGAGTAAACTGTAATTTTATTTTCTTTGTTACCCAACGCTGACACTGGGATGTGGGCACCTTTAGTTAAGAAAGAGTTGTCAGTACCTGTTTTTCCCCTGGGTTTATATGGAAGCTGTGCCTGGAGGGGTGGGCGGGGGTGGTGGGCACAGGACTGGCTGGTCCTTGGGGTGTCTGCCTGTGCTGCAGAAGTGGCACCTTGTGCTGATGGTGAGTGTTGGGTAAATGGTGGAATGAGGTTTTTAAGGACTGTAGGACTCATTTGACTGCCTAGAGTATAAGTTTGCATTCTTTGCACCCAGGTAAATAATGTCAGAGTCAAAGCACGTTCAAATCCAGGCACACAGGTTTGCAAGAGGAGCAGGAAGGAAAGCCATGTGGGTAAAAGGAGGTCTAAGGAATGTGAATTTGTAACATGGAGATCACTGAAGGGTCCACAGCACAGTTCAACTACCAGAAAAAAGGTCTGTGGTGTGGTGAGCAGACATCTTGGCAGGATCAAAGCCTTCTTTTTAAATCTTTCCATCACAGTTCCAGTGTTGGAAGCCAGAAACAGCACAGGCGTAGCAGGAGCACCATATGGTGAGCATGGTCCTCTCCAAGACAGGGCTGGAACTGGGGGCCAGGCTGTGTGCTCTGCTCAGGAGATCTCATTTCAATGCTGAGCACCAAGGCTGCAGCTTTCAGAGTAAACACTGTGCTGATCTGATTGTTAAAGGTGCCATGTGAGTAATATCTGCCTCGGGGACCACCTCAATTGCTCTCAAGGTAAAAGGAATGAAGTCAGTATAAAAGGTTGACACACATTCATGAAGATTGAATTTGACAAGCATCCTCTAGATATATTTCATATAAAATGGGGATGGCAGTAATTTGCAGGATCTCTGGGTTCTGCTGGTCTCTTTTTCTCTATCTGTACCATGTAGTGAAATATTTACTTCCAAACCCATCAGGACCCCATGGATGAAGTGGGCAGGAAACTAATTTCTATTGATTTCATCCCTGGTTGAAAAAAATTGGGGAAAAAAAGGATTGCTTTTTGCTTGCACACCTGCCCAGACATACCAGGCTCCTGCCTGCTTCATCAGCAGCTCCATGGCACGCCTGCTCACCACTGCATTCGTGCTGGCAGCTGAAGTGGCCCCCACTGGGGGATTTTGGTTTTTCTGAGGGACTCCAGCTCCCAGTTCGTCAGCAACGTGAACAAAAAAAGAGAAAAAAAAAATATCCCCCCAGACTGGGGAGATCCAGAACTGGAGCAGCACCAGCAGGGTCAGCAGCGGTGCAGCCACGAGCCAGCGCTGCTGGTGTGCACACCCACGGGGCCCCTCCATGGCCAGCTGTCCCAGGAGCAGACTTCTGTTGAAGTTTTAATTAGGTAAATTTATGATTAGACTTCAGAAAAAGCATTTTATCACATGGGGGGGGGTGAGACTCGATGATCTCAAGATGCCCCTTCCTGTCCTCAACTGTTCAGTCATTCTGTATAGTTTTAAATTCCACTTAATTATCAAGTTAGCAGCTGGGTTTTTTGAGCTTTTTCAAGACAACAAGAAGCAGCTATTATTTCTTAACAGCAGATGTACAGTAACCCTTGATTATATTAATTTGACTGTTCATAATTTTCCTTTGTTCGTAATTTGTTTCTGCTCATAACCTGCTGTTGCTATTCTCAGATGCTTTTTGTAAAGCTGCTGCAGGTCTCCTCCCTGCAAAATCACACTGGAAGTATTTTAACACTCACCTCAGCCTTTTAACACGACTTGAGGACTCCTAAAATCTTAGTACACTGTATATTTTCCTTTAGAAAGAGGCAAGGGCTCAAAGCAAAAGCTAATCAACTCTGAAAATTGATTAGTCAGCAAACCAAATTATACTAACACCAAAAAAGAATTACTTTTCCCTTGAAATATTTGAATTTTTGTGCATATTTCAGTGAATAGAGATGTGAGGTTCAACAGGATACTTGGACTCCCACAATTTTCTTGCATAATGCCTTCAGTATCTCTGTGCCTGATCCGTTTGCATGATGGAGACGGAAAGAAAGAAAGTTTTTGTTATCGTTCATCAAAGGCATTTCTTTTTCTTTTTTTAAACTCAGTGTCAGAGCTTGGGTTTCCTGGAACATCAAGCAGTAATTATCTCCCTGGGTTTGCTGACCTTTCAGTCAACTCGGATTTTGCTTTCGGATTCAATGCTAACCCTGTGGCCAACTTTTAAAGGAGTCTCACAAGTTCATCTTTAATTAGAAACCAGCGATCTTGTCAGTCACGGGACTTCCCTCACTCCAGCTGATGATTCAGAGCAGTGTGACGATGGTTTTGTTTGCAAGCCTAAACACAGGGAAAAATTGGAGCTGGTTTTAGTTGATAAAGAGCACCTCAAAAGACAGTTGTGCCCTCGTACCTGACCCTCGTTGGCAGGTTCTGCAGCACTCAGAGGTTGGGGGTGATGGAGAATTGGCTCTCTTGGATCATGTTTTTGGTCACTAACGTGGATGGTGGCTCCAAAGCCACTGGAGTGTGATGTTTCCCTGCTCCCACCCGAGACAAAGGCTGAGGAGAAAGCTGAGGCTGCCTGAGAGACACGTGTGGTGTTGGTTGCTGTGAAGGACAAAAGACACCAGTCCCAAGGAGCAGATCTCTGAGTCTGATTTCTGTGCAGGGTAGGAGTGCACAGTGCATTTGGTGTAAGTGAGAACTTGACCTGCTCACGTGGTCAGAAAGGTCTGGGAATAAAGAGCTGAAAGCAATAAGAGACTTAAAGGCACCTGAAATGCACAAATGTGAGTGTGTGCTGGATGGGGTATCATGCCATGCTGACAGCCTTGCTGAGTCGACTGATAAAGATATTCTTTACAAATAGTCAAATAGTGGCTTGGATATCTTAGAAGAGATTATTTGCTGACTAATTATCCTCCTAAAGGTTTACCCTGTGGGTGTGGTGAGGTCCCTCTGACCTTTGCTTTGGAGCTCCTCAAAAGAGAATAAACTTTGAGCCACCCAGGGAGGATGTGAAGAGCCCATCCTGCAGCACAGCTGGAGCAGTGCAGTGTCCCAGGCTCCTCCTGCTCTTTGCAGTGTCTGTGTGGATTTCCCTCCTGTGCAAGTTAAATATTAAATGGTTCCTGTGCCTTTTGGTCTCTGTAAAAGTGTCCTGTGAAGACACGATGCTCAAATACAATTTTTTTCTCTGAAAAAGTTAGCAGCTGGTGTGTTGAGTTAAACATAGGTGAATGTTTAAATGCTGTTACAATCTGCTCTGAGGCTTGTAACCTGTATCTCCATTTTTTTTGCAGAGTTGTCCTGAGTCTCTTCAAGGGTCTGAGCTCCACTGAGCTTCTCTTGGCTCTGTTCTGTCCAGCTCCTTCCCTGCAGCTTCAGAGTCAAGCCTCTTCCCAAAATCCACGCTGTTTGGCATTGATCCTGCAGCCAAAGAGAGCTCCTTTAGCAGTGGAATCTGCCCAAGAGGCAATGGCAATGGGTAAGGACTGCAAGGCTGCAGTTGCTGTCAGGTTCCTGCAGTTGTGTAAAAGGGGAGGAGAGCTGGATAGTTTTGTTGAGGAAATTCCAGAAGAATGGAACAGCTGGCTTGGAGAGACTGTCTCCCTTCTTGTTTTGATCTACACAAAACTTCTTGAATTTAATTCTTGCCTAGGTTTACATCTCATGTGTAAGAAGAGTCATTGCACTTATTTGAAAAGCAAACAAAACCCAAACACCCCCCCTCCCCAAACCCAATAAACTGATGAGGATTAAGCAGCTTCCAGTGGCCAGCTACTTGAGTAAATATGGGAACATGGTCAGACTACAGTCATGGGATGGCTTTTAGTGGTTGTCATGATGGCAAATCCTGAGATGGCTTTGAGGTAGAAATTAAAGCATGGAATCATCTGACTCAACGATACCATCCAAGTGATTTTAGCCCCAAAAGCAGCGTTTTTGCAGCTTGCTAATAGAAAAATCTGTTGGCCTGTGTTGAGGGTGGGAGACACTTGGATGTGCTGGGAAATGGAAGGGTGCCCTGGGAGCCTGTGGAGGTGGAGGCTGTGCAGAGTCACTGCAGGAGTGCCTGGGAAATCTGGGCCATGAAGCTCTGGCTCCATGGAATTTGGAATTAAGCCCTGCAGAAGATTCCAGCCTAAAAATGGAGCTGACCAGGGGGGTTGAGAGATTCTCTTTAGAGGGAACCCAAGCTTGGAGAGCTTCCTGTGACTCTTGTAGCCATTGCTGGTTGGAAGAACTGATTCATGGAGCTGTTACAGCCCTGACATCTGCACAAATTAACAAGTTTTCCTCACTGGGTCTGAGGGTGAAGTGAATTCTGCTCCACACAGGTGCCAATTCCATCACATTATGTAAATAGCCTGTGACTAATGGAGAAGCCTATGAAATGAAATGAAATAAAATAAAAGGCATCAGTCAGTGCATTTGCATGGAAACCAAAGGAAACTTGTTTAAAAATGAGTGACACCAGACAAGATAATTCTAAGGTTGCCACTGTGGAATATTTCTAAGTGTCTTATTAGCATAGAATTGAAAGGACAGTTTTGTGTTTATGGAGTCTATGAGGTTCCACTAAGTACATCTGCTGTCCATCTGACCCTTACATTGTGAGGTTTCTCAAAGCTTTGCTATAGATTTGCTCTCCTCTTATTTTGAATCATTTTTCCATATCTACTTTTGTCTATTTTTCTCTCCCTAATTTCAGTTTTTTTCTCCTCTGCCTTGTACCCCTCAGCTTTTAAATTTTCTCTCTCCTTTCATCAAGCTGGCCATTTAAAATTTTTTTTTCCTTGTTTGTCACATACCCTGTTGCTTTTCAATTTTTCTCTGTGTCTTTTATTCCTCTCCTCTTGGTTCACCCTGATGCTTTAGAGGGTCACCTTGGCACAGTGGTATCTCTGGGGTGTAATTTGTACCCCTCTGGCTGTGCCAGGGCATCTCTGCAGGTCACCCCTCTTCCCCAGAGCAGGCTCTGTGTCCTCCCCTCCATCTGTTCTCTGGTCAAGTCCCCTCCTGAGTGCCTTTGTGCCCTTGAGTCCCTGTTTTGTCTGCTCTGTGCTCACCCTTTCCATCTGCAGCAGCCTTTGTATTTTTCTTTGACCTCTCGGTGATTCTTGGCCTTTGGGCACGTGAGAACTGTCCTACCCCCATTACAGACAGCACAATTTACCAGCTGGGCACAGTGGCAGCTTTACACAGGGCAATATTTATTTGTCAGTCGATGGGAGCAATCAAAGTCTTTAAATCACACACAGCACTGGCACTGCCTTTGTCCACAGACAGAATTACAGTCAGTAATCAATCGATCTCTCTGCTCAACAGAATCATTTTCACAATGAATGCCAGTTCCCAGGTATCTCAGCCTAGTTATATGTGCTTACAGTTAAACCAATCAACCATAAAATACACAGACAGGTAAGGGTATGTTCATTTACAAGGATGTTTATAAATATATTAGTCTGGTCTACACAACTGGACCACGTGAACAAAGATCTGATGCAGTTTAAAAAAAACCAACAAACAACCCAAGAGTTTGTTTGTACATTGGGGTATCATTTGGGAGTTCAGGTTCAGTTCAACCCCTCTAGTTCAGTTCAATAATTAAATCCATGTTGCTGCTCCCCTGAGGAAGCTCACAGCTCTCCAGCCGGAACTTGATGATCCTTGTGAGTTCCTTCCAACTCAGAACATTCCATGATTCTGTGATCAAGTCACAACTCTCTGGTGAGAAAGGCTGTTAGAATTTTGTCTACTTGCTATGTCAGTACAACAAGAGGAAATGAAGTTATCATCATTACCCAACACAGGGTAATTTGTCAGGGTAATTTAACTTGAGCCACCTTTAGGCATTGCATATTGCAGTTACAGATATCACTGTCACACCATGCTGGAGTCCATAATACTTATGCTTTAAAAACAAAAAACTATTCTTTGTTCCTGTTCTTGTCAAAGTCAGTTCACTCCTACTGACTTGCCTGGAAATTCAGCATCAGGATGCACATGAAACCAATTGGATGTACTGAGAGTCTTCAAGACTGTGATGATCCTCTGTTCAGTTAAGAATGATTTTTATAAGTGCAGCATCAGGAAGAGACACTTGATAACTGAATGCTCAGGACAGAAATGGAGCATCAGCACTTGAGTCAAATGAAAGTGTCAGGAAGAAACGAGAAGAAGAAATCAAGGCACAAGTGTGATTGTTCAGGTTTGATTTCGAGGAAGTCACTGCTCAGAATGCTCCCACCTGCTAATGAAGAACCCTCTCGTGCCAAGATTCAGACTGGAAGGGAAAAATTGATTGCTTGAGTCTGATCAGGATGTCGTGAGCAGACCATTGGTGTCACAAAAAGCGACGGCAATCTTTTTTATGCCTGTCTAATGCACTGCCCAAGCACTTCCAGGGAGAGACAGTGAAGGGAGACCATCCATCAGCATCACGTAATTTAAATCAGCGTTAATTTTGGGGCTGTATTTAAACCACTTGGGATGTGATACTAAACCCACCTCTGCTGTTAAACTAAGCACACTTGGGTGTGCCTGAATGCTGGTTTGGGAGCCACTTAGGCCAAGTTGACACATGGGAATCTCAGTTCAGCCTGATTCAAACTCTAAATATTCTCTGAGACGCTTCTGAGAGCACTGAGAGTAATCTGAACTGTTGTGCTGATATTAATAAATTAAACTGTGAATGTCCTGTGCTCGTAAAGTGCTTTCAGCACGGGCCCTGAAGCTGTAAACCGCTTAAATATGAGGAATACAGTGATAGAGATCTGTGTTCCAAACTCAGGGAAATCCAGCTGATAGCCCAGGAATGCCACCAGGATTTGTTAAAATGATCTGTTCAGTGAGTGGTCTTCTGGCAGTATTAGGTGACTTTCTGTACGGGCACTGGAATCTCCAAGAAAATGAAGTTCCTGGATCAGAATTGCTCTCATTTAAGCAAGTGCAATGAAGACAGTGATGATTCCCCTTATTACCTTGGACAGCACCTCCCCTTCACCAAAGCACACACCAGCCCCTTGGGCAGTGCTCAGTGTGGTCATCGACTGCGAGTTGCCGCTTTTAACTTAAACACCCATTTGCTGAACAAACAGATGGTGTGAACCAGCAATAGAAGGAGCCCAGTGATCGAGGGGTGGAGTCAGTGGAACTAATTAACACCAAGGTACTCTCATCAGTGTGATCATCGGCCTTTATTAGGCATTTATCTGTCTCCTGGTTTCTTTTCTATGATGCACAAGGCAGGTGTTGAAGTTATGGTTTATGCACTCCAGTGCACAGGTGTGATATTGGATCTAAGTAGAAAAAAATACTAAATGATGCCAAAACTACTCCATAGCTGTCACTCTTGATTCCTGTGTTGCTAATTCTGCCTTTCTTGCCCCTGTGAGCAGGGCTGCCCTGGTGACTGCAGTGGGCTCTGGCACTGATGGAGTTCAGCGAGGTCCTTTTGCTCAGGGTGAATCAGGGAGCACTTGACAACCCAGAGCATCTGCAAGAGCTCCTGAGGCTCCTCTCACAGAGCTCCTCTGACGAGCAGAGTGATGCAGCCAGTCTGAACAAGTGCTGGAGCAAGAGGACTGTGGCCTGAAGGAATCCTCTAAGAACTGCTTGACTGTGGAAAATGATGGTCCCTCTCCCAGAGAATTTTACTGGCCTGAGGGTAGGTTTCATCACAGCTGAATCAGCAAGGAGCTCATTGTAATAGAAATGTTAATTCTTTTAAGTGGGGGGTTGGTAAATTGCTCGTCAGGGAACACGTTGCAAGGAGTTTTATGTGCAAGTGTTAAGTGTTTTAAAAAACTCCAAAGAAAAGAAGAAAGGATTCTTAAGCAATACAAGTAATTAATTATATTTAACTTGAACAAGAGGAAGCAAGGTGAGTTGTTTGACTACAGTGTTCTAAGTACTGTATTTAAATAGCCCAATATAAACTGTAGCATGGATGACAAATAAGTCTGGTTATTTTTTCATGGCCACACTGGAAAGTGGTTTTTAAAATGTTTTAGTCTGAGAAAAGCTGTGTTCAGTATTACACCTTTAGGCTTCTATGCACTGTGCTACAAAGAAACTGTTTTCAAACACAGCTGGACAGAAATGACCACATCTGCTCAAGTGTACCCTCTTGCTAGTGCACGAATGTGGAGAAAGATATTGCTGCAATGAAAATGCAAACCTCATTTTCTGCTCAGAGAGAGCTCTGGGTAAGTAGCTAAAACAAAATTTCCTCTGAATTCATAGTGTGTTTGTTTGATAATGGAGATTCTAAAAGGTCTATTGTAGGGCCCAGTGGTGATGGTAAGAGCAAAAGCAATGATCTGTATTGGTGGTTTGGAGAATGCAATGCTTTTAGGAGAAATGCTAAATATGTATTTCATCTTGAACAGCAAGAACAATCTGAGTGAAGACATCTTTGCAGCAAATCAACTTTTCAACTGTTTTAGTGCTCATAAAAAAAAAAAAAAGAATTCCAACTCTAGCCTTTCCCTTTGTTAAAATACAGTTTCTGGGCTGGACTGGTACCAAACCAAAATAAACTGCATGCTGGGGTTGAAAGGAAGATGGTGGAGGCTTAGGATAAGTTCAAGGACCTGTAACCAGGGCTGGGATCAGTGTAGGGCAGGAAAGTCAAAAGGCCAGAGAACTGTGAGAAAGGCTGCTGAAGTCAGGAACACCACAGTGCTCAGGGTTTACTTGGAAGCTGGGGTTTAGGGAGGACATCTGATCAGTGGCTGAAATGGAAATGATTTTTTGGAGCCAAGGTTGGATGCCAATCACTTTGAAACTGTGGATTAAAAAAGTAAGATGTTAATACTGTTTATAATTCCTTATTATTGATCTTTATGACTCTTGGAAGTGGTTTATTAGCATTAATACTATCATTAAGGACCTGTTAAGAGTATGCCTGTGGGAGCATAATCCTGGTTTTGCTGAACTAAATGGCAAAAACTCCCTCTAAACTTGGTGGTAACATGATCAAGACCTACAGAAAGAGGCCATCTGCAACAAAACACAAAATTTTGGAAACTGCTGTTGGATTATTTTATATATCCACATGGGGATTATTTAATTTCAGAGACCCCCTAGATGCATCAGTCTGCAGATTTGAAAGGGCAATATTTTCATATTCCTCCTGGGATGCTGAGCATCTGCAGTGGTGAGCTAATACTATCAAATCCTTCTGAAAGTTCCTGTTCAGAAATCCATAGAAGATGGGGTTGATACACGTTGAGACCATGGCCACGAGGTGGCAGATGGTAAATGCCAGGTTGTGATTGCAGCTCATCAGTGCCTCGTAGTTCCAGTCAAAAACCACGTTGAATATATTGAGAGGCAACCAGCAAGCTGCAAAAGTCACAACAATTGACACCAGCATCATGTTAATCCTTTTGTTTTCACTCAGCCTGCTCTCGTTCTCCCTCATCCTGTCTATCTTAAAGCGTCTCCTTCGAAGACACACAAATATCCTGAGGTAGCAGATGAAAATAAACCCCAGTGGGAAGCAGTACTGGAAAACCAGCAGGCTGGTGGTGAAAATCAGCCTCTCCGTAAGAGAGGGCCATGCTTCGATGCAAGCCACCTTGTTCTTGTAGAAATCACTGTGGAAAGACAGGTGTTTGAAGGGTTCATCTGTCAACTGGTGAAATATTAAAAAAGGAAGGGATATCACGAGGGAGAGCCCCCAGACGAAAAGAATTCCCCAGTAAGCGTGTGAAATGTTGGGCTTCCAGCCACGTGGGTTCACAATTAACTGATACCTCTCAACAGCAATGAGTACAAGGGAGAAAATGGAGACTGTGACAGACAAACTTTGTATGAAAGAACCCATTTTACACATTGCTTCCCCAAATATCCAGTGGTCCATTAAGGTGTATGCAACTGTGACAGGGATGCACATGATACAGATCAAGACATCTGATAAAGAGAGGTTGGCAATCAAAATGCTGGTAACATTTTGAGCTTCTTTCCGCCTCTTTATTACAATAATCAAGCAAAGATTCCCAAAAAGCCCCACTAGTAAAACTAAGGTGTAAGCTGTAATAAGCAAGAACTCTGCAAGGAAGGAAAGCTGGCATGTGTCAAAGTTCAGGAACTGAGAAATGCTAAAGTTAGAGACAGTTTGGTTGGACGGGATCTCACTGGGGTGCTGAATGGCTTTATCCATCGTGAAGCATCTCCCAGCCTATGGACAAAACCTTGTGTTATTTAGAATATACTTGGTATGGAGCTTTTCAAAGCAGTGATTACTGTGGGTCTGTCACTGCAGTCAGTGTCCTTAAGGTTTTGAGTAAATCTAATGTGATTAATCACAGTAGTGGCAAAGTGAGTGGTTATTAGTGGGGTTATGATTATCTGTGGATGGAGGTGGATGTCACCTTTCTGAGGTTCTGCTCTGAGCTGGGACTGTGGTGTACAAGAAACAGCAGTGACAGCAGCTCTGGTTTGTGTGGCCTTTTCATACAAATCCTCTTCCACCAACTGTGGATAAAGTTTGCTTTTCAGAATCAAATATTTTAAGATCTGTCTCTGCTTAAGATTTAGCAAGGTCAGTGAATTCCAGTGAGGATAATTAGTTGCTTTTGTATAATCAGAAAAGAAGAACTGGGTCCTGCCACCACGTTGCTATCTTAGACATCACACTTATATTGTCTTCAGAACCTACAAAGCAGTGTGAGCTAATACACCAAAAACTCCTGACTTGATCAAAATTATGTGTGCTTGAGCTCAAGTGGTGTACAACACCTCTAGGAATGATATTTTTGAGGCAGTTTCCTGTTCTGCTGATGCATTGAAGGTAGCACGGCCTTTTTCCTCAATCTAACTTGAGAAAAATGTAGACCAAACACAGATCACATCATAGTTGTACACAAAGTCATTTCTCTGTCAGGAGTTACCAAGTGTTGTTTCATTTCCCTACACACTATTCAGTGTTGTACAAGTTTGACAAATGATGCCCTTAAATTTTTTTGTGGTTGACTGCAGCATGTACTCAAGAGACACAGAGTTGAGTCTTCTTTCAGCTCCAACTTAAACAGGTGTCAAGTGAAAAATCTGATATTTAGCACAGTTCTGTTGTTATAAAACTAATATTATTGAGAAGAATTGGGTTCAGCAGATGATGGGGTTGAATTTATCATCAAGTGAACAAGTTAATCTTAAATTAAAGGCTCACCAGCTCTCTGGCCAGAAAGGGGTTATTTCCAACCTGGGAAAGGAAAAAAGAAGGATGGAATGAGTAACTTCAAAAATAAGTATGTTCTACACACATACCTTTCAAAACTCAACTTTAACTCACCTTAATTCCTTTTTGAAGTTATTGGAAAACTGGCTGGAAGGAGATAGTTCTTCACCCCTAGTAATAGTGTTGAGAGCCTGTGGAGAAAGGAGAATGAAGAAGCAGTGGGAAGTAAAAAGGGGGTGCACAAAAAGAAGAAGGGTTGGGTGGATGTTTTATTATTACTAGAAATAATCTGCTTATGTGTAGAAGATTTGTCAATCTTGTCATAGAAATGATAGCCATTATCTAATCACTAAGGAATAAAAAAAAAATGTGTTGTTTGCACAAGATTAAACACCAAAACCAGGATTATAATGGGAATGATTCTGTAGCTGCTTGCCCCCAGACACTCAAAGAATATTCCAGCCAGAATTATATCCTGTACTGCTTTGTCCTGATACTTCTACTTGACATTAAGTTTGGATGCTTCAAATTAAGATTCTAAAAAAAAAACCCAAACAAAACAACATATAAAAGACAACACAACCCCCTTTGGAGCATCTGATACCACTCTCATTCTAATTAAAATACCCTTTCGACCAGCATGCTCATTCTGGAGTGGGAGTGGCTGTAGATTTTTGTGACTCTATGTGGCCCTGATGTCCCAAATATGACTTAATTTGTGGTCAGGGCTGGCATTAAGCCCTGTAATCTCCCTAAATAATGCACCTGGCTTGGTTACAGCTATATTGAGGGAATGGCATGGAAACCTGCACAGTCAGTCTGCAAAAACCATTCAAAGTCTGATGGCTCAGATAGATTTTTTTAGTCCCTTGCAGGTGTTCCTACTCCAGCAGGGCAAGAATAAGAGCTCCAGCTCCATCTACACTGTCCTTTTCTCAGGAAAAGTGCAATTTCTTTTCACTGTTTGGTTTGTGCTGGGAGTTAAAAAGTGCAGCCTTTAGTACCTGCCATTCTGCGAGGCAATTTAAACATTTCCTTGGCAATAAAACCATTACACCTGTCTTGTTAAACAACTGGAGTATTCACAGCATAAAAAAAATAAGTTACTCTAATACTTACTGAATGCTGAACTATATTGTAATAAATACTGGTATTTTTAAAGCTAAAAAATTTAGTGGAATCAGTGTTCTTGGACCACAGCTGCAGCTGATATCAGAATTGAAGTGTTTAATAGAAAGAACTAATTACTTCAACCTCTAATTCAGTCATTTTGAAAAAGATTCTCTACCACAGTGAGAGTTTAACACTAGAAGCTGTTAGAAGCTGTTAGAAATCCCTCAGCCTAGTTGTTTCATTCCTCTATCTGCAGATACATTACTGAAATGTTCCTAAGCAAAAGAAAGGTTTAAAATAAAGTGAGTTTTAAAAAGGCTTTCTTACCTGTGATAAAGATGAATAGTCCCATCCCTTCAAGGTGACCAGTAAATGTTTCAATTACAAACATTGTTTATTAAGTTCCAAAGTATTGCACAGACAACACGTGGAGGAAATTTCCCATTCAATTTTAAATATAGGAGGTACAGAATAACAGAATGCTTTAAAAGATATATTTCAGTAACTTTTGCCACAGTTATACAGATTTTCTGACTTCTTACCTGCTGAAAAATTCAAGTCATATCCACTCTGCCTTTAACAATTTTCCTCTTCCCTTTCTGTGCTTACAGAGCCAGCAAAAACATCTTCTTTGTGTGTAACAGAATCCAGAGCAAAGCCATCTGCTGCTACAGCAATACTTAAACTCTCCCTTCTTGTCTTCCTGAAACAAACCCCAGATCCACAGTTTCCAAGTGCACTGAATCCACCAGGCTGCAGGGAGGCTGCTGAGGAATAAAACAAGCTCTGGAATCCAAGGAGAGGCGAACAGCAGTGAGCAGGGAGGAGGAGGAAGGACCAGTAGTCATGGGGATGGATTTTCCTCCACTGAGCAGTTTCCCTCCACCTTGTCAAACACCTTATCTTGCTATTTCATTTTCAATTATTTAATCTGTTCTGTAGTACAAATGTTTTCCCTACGTTGGATTTCATATATAAATATCTGCAGATGGCATATTGCTTTCTTAACTGATATGACTGTACATCAGCCTGCTTGGAAAGAGCGTGCACACCCTATTAAGTGTGTCATTGGCTTTATTACAATTAAGATAATCAGATTTTCACTTTAAATTGATATTTTAGCTTATACTCCACAGATATAAAAATATTCCTGAAAAGCAAAGCATGGCACATTGCATTAGCACATGGTGAAAAGGGGCTTTATTTTTATTACAGTTTTTCCAGTAAAAGTCCATGCATTTTGTAGTCACTTATTTACAAATATTAGCATTCAATTCAGTGTTTCCCTATTAAATATTTAGAGTGGACATTTGTGGGAATGGAAAGGAACTGTTTTTCTTATGATGTGCTCTCTGGTAAGTTGCTGAATAAACTCTTGAATTCGTACCTGTCTCCACTTAATCCCTAATACCTCAATCTGGTTTTTTTGAGAGAATGATTTTTGAAAAGCAGTGGTAGGATTGCTGGGATGAGCAATACTGATGAAACTGCAGTTTGGAACTAATTACCTGAAAATATTGTTGGTTGTCATGCTACTGTATTTGCAGAAACTAGGGGTGGGGTGGAGGGAACCTGTGTGATCACCCAGACAAATATATTTCTACCTATTCATGATGTGTTTGTCCAGCCTGTTTTTTAACCATCTGTGGTAATCCTATGTTAGGTACTCAAGAGCCTAATTTAGTGTTAGGAAGACTCCTTAATACCTCCCCCTAAAATTTCCTGCTCTTTAGTTTAGCCCATTGCTTTTTATTCTAGGTGTGTTCTGGCATTTCTGATATTTTAACCAAAAATGCTACAATCAAGCAGCGTGAAAACACTTTTCTTAAGCATTTCTAGAACTTGCTGGTTTTGATTGTGTCAAAAATACTACAGAAACAAAGCTCTGCCAAAGTACTTTAGAAATTCTACTTCTGGTTGTGCTGTAACCCAAGGAAGTGAATCAGGACTTGGACACGCAGTGTGCCAGACAGGCATCAGAACAAGCCATAAAAATGCATTATGTGTTTATAAAGGGAATAAGTCAACAAAATTAAAAGATGTTCTGATTGTATTTAAGGATTTCAAAGGTTAATTTGCTTATTTACATACGCCTCTGTTTCTAATATAGCTCTATGCAGTCCTTCCTCTGTGGAAAAGCTGGAGCGTTTAACGTGGGACCCCTGGGTTTTACAGTCCCATCAACCTGCTGCCATGTGTGGATTTAATTGTGCTGACACCTGTTGTGAGTGAGATCACGTCCAGCATCAGAGGCTTGTGGGTGTAGCTGCTGCTGCTGTGTTCAAACCTGATGTCAAAGGTAAGTGTGCTGAGTGGGACCTGTAGCTGTGGAGGAAGGATCGGGGTGCACTGTTTTCAGTCAAATGCTGGAGCGTCTGTTTGCAAAAAAAGGTTAATGGGTACCAGAATTGTGTTTGCTTTTCATCAGTGATCATGTTGTTTCTAAACTGCTCAGTATTAAGTGATGGGTGAAGTGCCATAATGGACAGTTTTTTAAAGTCTAGGTCTGTAGTAACTTCTGTTGCATGGACAACAATGCGTTGGTGAAAAATTCTCTAGTGTGTCAGTCCTTGGAGTTCACCTTTTGCTTTGGCATTTACATGACCCCTTGCCTGGCAGGAATCTTTGCTGATGGTTGATCACTCTAAGCTTTTGCTGTTGCTTAGTTGCTTCCCACATGTAGCTGTGCAGAAGTGCTTGTTCCTACCTGGTGCAGCCCCTTCTTCAGAAATCAAGATTTGGTACAGATGTGCAAGTTCTCAGCTTCCCAGGGTTCTTCAACAGCAGATCAGCCAAGAGCTGATTCAGTGACCTGTAACATCCCTGAAGGGTCACAGAATCACAGAGTGTTAAGGGTTGGAAGGGACCTTAAAGATCATCCAGTTCCCCCCGCTGCCATGGGCAGGGACACCTTCCACCAGCCCAGGCTGCTCCAAGCCCCGTCCAACCTGGCCTGGAACACTTCCAGGGATGGGGCAGCCGCAGCTTCTCTGGGCAACCTGTGCCAGGGCCTGCCCACCGTCATGAGGAAGAATTCCTTCCCAATATCCCATCTAACCCTTCCCTCTGTGCAGTCTGAAGCCATTCCCTTATCCTGTCACTCCAGGGACTTGTCCCCAGTCCTCTCCAGCTCTCCTAGAGCTCCTTTAGGCACTGGAAGGGGCTCTAAGGTCTCCCTGAGCCTTCTCTCCTCCAGGATGAACACCCCCAGCTCTCCCAGCCTGTCTCCACAGCAGAGCTGCTCCAGCTCTTGGAGCACCTTCATGGCCTCATCTGGACTCGCTCCAGCAGGTTCACTCAGTTCTTACCCTGGGAGCTCCAGAGCTGGAGGCAGCACTGCAGGAAGGGATCTCAGAGGGGCACAGTCCCCTCCCTCACTGCTGCCTTTGCAGCCCAGAGAGCCAAACGTGTCCTGGGTTGCAGCAAACACACATTCCCAGCTCCTGTTGAGCTTCTTGTCAACCAACACACCCAAGTCTTTCTCCTGGAATATTTCCTCCCAGTGAGCACTATTCTTTATAGCACTTCAAAGAGGCCCAGAAAAATAAACAAGAATAATTGGAAATCTCCTGTGGTAGCATGGGATGTGCCAGTTAATGTCAGGAAAGTAAGATAATGTGCTCTGATGGAGGAAAAACACAGGCCCTGCACATTTCCCTGGTCTGGGGAGAGATCAACACCCTGGTAAGGGATCTTCAGTAAATAGCCTGTAATGTGACCAAACTAGCAACACCTGAATATCAGCTAAGTATGTGCTGTAATTTTTTCTCCAGAGATGTATATGTGTACGTTTGAGCACTGCTCCACCATCTAGAATTTTTTTTTTCCTAATTGGAAAAAAAATCAGCACAAAAATCACTCGTGTTCACTACCTGGAGTTTGGGTTTCACTCCATTACACTGCATAGCTCTAGAGGACTGCTTTGCAATGTCCTCATTCTGATTTTTAATTCTGACTCTCAATTAGTTCATGCCTAGAATGAAAAGTCAACTGTTTGAAAATCTGATTTAACTATAAATGAGTTACTTATAATGGCATATTCATTTTTAAAGTTATGTCATGCCATGAACTGTTGGCTGATTTCTGGACCTTACTCAGTTGACACAGAGATGGAGATGGATATACTCCCTGGCTGGAAGGTTAGCATCTTGATTTTCTGAGTCAGCCAAGTCACTGTTCTCAGTGAAAAAGAGAGAAAATATGTGAGTAATCATAATAAGAGTGTGACTGTTTTAATTCATATGTTATAATGGATTTCACTTTCCAAACCCTGATTCAATTCTTTGTAGCTTTCTAGAACTTCTCCAGCTGATTTTTACCCAAAGTGATCTCTGCCAAAAAAATGAATTATTTCAATAGCTCACAGACTTGGGGAGAATATGATAATTTGTATCTCTGGTTTGTTTTTTCCCCATTCTACAGTCCTTTTATAACAACACTGTGAGCACCAAACCCTGCTGTTCTCATACCACAACATCTTCCAGTGTCCTAATTGTTAATTAAGAAATACTTACATAATCAAAAGGTTTTTCCTGTTAATCTCAATCTGTTCCAATTTTCCAGCATGTTTCAAACTGTTAATAGCAGTTTTGATTTTCTGAATTCAAAATCTGAATTCTAGATTGCTGTTTTGTGTCTAGGGAGGCTCACTTCCCACCACCTCATTTTAAAATTTCTTGAATAGCACGGATGTCTTACAGCTAATTCCAGGCAGGTACTTACTGAGCTTCATGGCACAACTCTGCCTGCTGTGTTCAAACAAAGCTAAATGTCAGTCATGCAAAAGCTCCACAAAACCACCCTACAGAGGTTCTGTGGAATGAGAAATAGATGGAGTCTAGGAATAGCTAAGGAGAAAAAAAAAAAAAAAAAAGGCAAGTGGATTTTAATTCATCTGGAAAATACATAATGAAAGATTTGCAGATGAGAAAGATCAGAGCGTGGCTGAGATTGCTGCTGGCTCCAGGTCTTCCATTGGCAAAACTTATGATTCTGGACTAAGATACAGTGAAAGATCTCCCCTCTCACATCTGTCATGGCATTGCTATGTTCTTTGATCCTTCACAAGAACCTTGACTTTTCAGACTGTATTTTCCTGCCCTACTTTCATCCTATCGCTTCAAATTATGACCAGCTTTTATACCAAATTTTAGGAAAGAGAAGAAAGGAAATCAAGCATTATTACAGAAGAGTGAAAAGATGAAAGAGGAAAAGAGAAATTGAACTTCAGAGGCAAGAGGAGGGAGGGCAGGATTTAAGGAAAGATGGTAACGTAAATCCAAAGAAAAGGATGCAAATTCAATTCTCCGATGACTTTCCACTTCACCCTTCACAGAGGTGTGTTTCTCTCTCCAGCAAACTCCCCTTACAAAGAGCTCAGGGAAGATTTTGTTCTGTTGATAAAACTTTGATACCACTTACTGAAGAAATAGTTCCTGGGGTTATTCTGTAGTTACCTCTAGATATCTTATTTTGCATTAAGCAGATATAAGAGAGGGGTAGTGTTTTATTCCCCATCAGAATTCACACAGGGCAGAGATTTTTATCCTGAAGTGTCATGTTCAAACTTTAGGGAGGCAAAAGACTATCCAGTTGCCTCTCAATGCTTTTTAATCAACCTTTTTCAAAAAAACCCTTCTCTCAACCAGTGCTAATTCATTGGAGTCTCCAAAGTAAGATCACAGATTTGATGTTCATGCAGATTAAAGTAAAAACAGCTGAACAGAGTGAAAGATAAACCTTTTTATCAAAGGCAAGAGCTCTCTCAAAGACAGCTGTAGATCTTCCACAAGTTTTCACATCTGTAGCTAAACCAAGGTGCCAGGGTGGGCAAGCTTGTAGTGCTGCTGGGTGTTTTATCCATGTGATGGTTCGGACAAAGATGTTGAAAGAAGTTAAAAGAATAGGATTTTCTGTTTACATGAAGGTTCAGATAAAATATTTACAAGAGCAACTTTTGACTAATGTTCTTCTATTGCCCCTCATGCTCTTTTCCAAAACTTCATTGTTCCTTTTCTATCTTGGCAGTTTGGACCCATTAATGTGCATGACAAGGTTATGTTTCTTTAGTGACAAAAACTGATATAAAGAATTCTTTAATAACTTATTTTGTATCATCTTTTAATATGAATATATAGCACCATAGGAAGCCTAGTGGTGGAAAGGGACTGTTCAGATGTCTGGTTTATGATCTCTTAAGCAGTGATGCCCTCCTGTGGACTGTAGACAGTATGATTTCTACTGGAATAACTGGAAAGTTGTTATGCATGAAAACGGTTTGGTTTCTTTCTAATACTCTAATTAAAATATCCCATGGTGACATTTATCATAAGGTTTTATTTGGCCAGTGCTTCTGGTTTGAGAAATACATTTCCTTTAGGTGGATGACACAGGTAGGGCTTTTATCTGAGGAAGTACCTAAATTTAGAAACTTCAGGTGTTTATACAGTGGTTTCTATTTTA